TCTCTCTCTCTCTCTCTCTCTCTCTCTCTCTCTCTCTTATGGTGAAGATTTGAATATGAAGGTTTTGAGAGGAAGCAGATTTGGAACAAGAAGCACGCACCTTTTGTCATCACACTCTCGACTCTCTCACTACTAAATCCCAAAACAAAAATCCCAAAACGTTGTGAGAACTGAGAACTATTTTAATTTTTTAATTTTTGGTATAAAGAACTATAAATTTCGTTTCCTCCTTAGTGATCTCGAGGCGCGATTGTTCTCAGGCTTTGTCTCGTTGATGATTGACCGATCAAAGTAACAAGTTTAAAGACATTAAAAAAAAATCCAAAAGGAACAGAGAGAGCTATGGCAGTGGTTGATGATGCATTCGAAGTGGGAGAAGAGGTCGGGTTGAGTTCAGACTATCTTGATATGGTGCAGAAATTCAAAGAGAGAGAAAGGGAGGCTTGGGGCAGTGACGAGCAGAGGGGGCTGCTGCTGAGGTGTTGTAAGATCCCACATCGACCAACGAAGATGGGGTTGATGTGCCTTATATGTACATGCCCGTATCCATCTAGCACGAGGCCTTTGGGGAGCTCACTGGCTTTGGAGTCGTGGGAACTCCGAAGTTAAGCGAGTTGGGAGCCAGAGCAATCCCAGGATGGGTGACCCACTGGGAAGTTGGTCGTGAGCTCCCAGAAACAAAACCGTGAGGGCCAGAGAGGGGGGGGCCCAAAGCGGACAATATCGTGCTACGGCGGAGCCGGTCCTGGGATGTGACAGGTGTGCTGTTTGCTGAGGGTTGCAGAGAAGATGAACAGGGTGGGCACAGGGAAAAGGGAAACAGGAAAGTTGAACTCGTATCTTTACATTTGTTATTCTTAACCTACATAATAATATATAACCTTTTTTATTACTTGCATATTATTCATTTTTTAAGTTACAATGTTTGTTAGCTCGCACTATACTTAACTTAAATCACTCAAACTCATCATACAATGCATTTTTTTTCAAAAATAATTGTGTTAGAACAATAGATAATTGACTAATTGAACATATTCTAAAGTTTCATCACAAATTTCTATGTTTTTCTACCACTTTCCATCATTTTTATGCAATTTTATATCGATGTCAACTTTTTGTCGATATTTCCATCGATATTTTTGTGTTTTTGGACAATCGATATTTCTGAAACCCTCGATATTTAAATCCTTGCTTGGAACCACAACATTGCTTATTTGGAATTTTTAATTGCAAACATAGGACCTTGTCTTCCTCGATGTTGTACAGACTCCATGTACCACTTTTTCTAGTATGAATCAAGAGCATTGGGGTTGTCGTCTTGGCACATCTGACTTTTATTATGCTTTGCTATAGAATGCCATGATACACAAACAATGATGAATCACAAATAGTTTGATAGTAACATTAATTTCTCTAAAACCGAATCTAAAAGATTCTAAGATAAATTTGTCAATATGAGAAGACAAAAGAGAAGACATATATGTTCAATTAGAGCATAGTATTATGATGAACTAGATATCCTTATTCTTGACCAAATGTTTATGAGATACCAATTTAAATAATCCTTGTATAAATAATAATAACAAATTAATGGGACAATAAAAAATAAAATAAAAAAGCATGTTCATGCATCCTATGTAATTAAGAAATAAATACACGTTTTAATTTGAAGTCTTTTTTGAGACCACCCGGCAACTGGCCAAAAAACAAACTACAAAGTTTTTTGTGTACTTTTCTTTTAAATAAATTAATGAATTATGATATTAGATAATCTGATAAATATTATAATCAAATTTAAAATAAATTTTTATTTATGTCTATAGCAGTCCAACCTATAGTTGTACCAAACAATGGACCCAGTGTAGTCTGGGCTAACCTAGATGTACTTACAAAAATGAATTGGAATTTTGAAAATAGATGGCATCTACTAAGCTAGTGTAAGATCCCACATCGACCAACGGAGAGGGGGTGATGTGCCTTATATGTACATGCCCGCCTCCATCTAGCATGAGGCCTTTTGGGAGCTCATTGGCTTCGGAGTCATGGGAACTTCGAAGTTAAGCGAGTTGGGGCCAGAGCAATCCCAGGATGGGTGACCCACTGGGAAGTTGCTCGTGAGCTCCCAAAAACAATACCGTGAGGGCAGAGAGGGGGGCCCAAAGCGGACAATATAGTGCTACGGCTGAGCCGATCCCGGAATGTGATAGCTAGGGGAGGTTAAATTGGGTGTTTCTTGTTTTTCTTTTGGTCGAGAAAGTTTCATTAGAAACAGAGCATTACACCCGGTCAAAAGATAAAGACATTTAAACAAGGCCTAACAACATTACAAGCAAGCGGAATTCTATAGTGAGGGTGCCATATATGGATCCCTCATGTGTACACAAGATCATTTCAATGAACTTAAGTGAAGTTATTATTCAGATGAATTATGTGGCTAATATGAATGTCAACATCTATGGTTAATATAGGGCACCCTCACCATAAAACGACTCTTACAAGCAAAACAAATAGAAAAAAAGCCCACTAAGAGCAGCCCAAGACCATTGCAAACCCTAAAGCAGATAAAGAGCTTTCAACTTCTTGTCTAGTTAACTCAAGCTTTTCCTTTCTAGTTTGGTTTTAGATTACACACTCTTTTTAGACTTCCAGAGCATGTTTACTAATCAAGAATCAGAGTGAGACATTCCAATTAAACTGTTTACTAATTGTTGGAATCGAAATAAAAATAAAATTGATTCCCATCAAAATTGTAACTATTGTCAAGAATCGAAATGAAAATAAAATGAATACCCATTAAAACCGTTTACTATTGTCAAAAATTGGAATCAAAACCAATTTGATTACCAAAATCTATACCATTGCACAAAACAAATTCTATTTTGGTGCAACTACTTACACAATTTTTTCAAGTCAGAAATTAAACCGATGGGATTAATTTGTTTGGCTGGTTTGAACAGTACTTAGGCCCTATAGTGTGATAAATAAAACACGAAATTCTCTGGCGCCAAAATTCAAACACTTTCGCATCACACACTCGCAAAATGTAGTTGGAGGACTCTCTCTTCCTTCCACGGCGACCTCATCGCACGACAAGTCGTTGATCTCATTTCCGCACTCTGCGCTTCCGCTGATGCTTCGCTCTGAGCTGACTTCGTCGCTAGGGTTTCCGATTGCCTCTCGTCTGATCCGTTGGCCTTGAATCGCCGTCAGATTATATGGTATTTCCATCCTCCGCATTTATCAATTCTCTACTTGTTTATTTGTGCATTTCGGAATCGATTTTGAGATTTAGATTAAAATTTGCAGTAATGATTTGTTTTTTCTGTTTGCTTCTTGAGAAAATGTAGGAAAGTGTTATGATTTTTTATGTTTTTAGGTAATCAAACAGTGCATGATTGGTTAAGGTTGGACGAATTTGGTGAAATCGAACTTGATTCATTTTCTTATATTGAACCTGTGTTCGTTTTTATTTTTATTTTTATTTTTTTTGGTGAATTATAAACCAATTTTGAGATTTTGGATTTTTTTTTTTTTTGGGTGAATTATAAACCAATTTTGAGATTTTGGATAAATACTTTTGGTAATGCTTTATTTCCTATTTGAAGGAAAACTGTGAAATTCATTTTGTATTTTTCAGTAATCAAACAATGTATGATTTCAGTATAATCGCACTTGATTTTACTGTTTCTCATGGCTCGTTAATTAATTGTGGTACAACTACAGTATAATTGAAGGATTGTTAATTAAAACCTGAAATTGCCTTATAATACAAAGGAGGATGAGTTAGTGTTCCATTGAGATCCTCAAATAGTTTGTCCTGTTTCTTTAGATTTAGATTTCTCTACCTTATGCAAGTTCCCAGTGAACACCAATCAGATTTTAGTGTATTTTAAGCACTGACAAGAATTTGAAACTCCAATTTTGGTATACCTGAAATTCTCTTATCCTTGTATTTTGGTTACATTTTTTGCCCTTGCATATCAAATCTTCTCGTCATCATGGAATGATTAAAAAGGGAAAAGGAGAGAAGGGCAATTGTGAATCAGCATGACCATGTTTATCTGCAAATTTTATGGCTAGGATTTAGAGTATACAGTGAAGTCTCAATAGATTAATATGCATACATGATCTTAAAACATATATATCCCTGATAATAATTTTATCACTGATATGTACCGTGATGAGGCTGGTGTATCAATATGGTCTTTATAGGGATATCACCAAGGTTAGCCACCAAATTCCCTACATTCTAGAAGCTGAGTCCTGTTTGATATTTTAAGTGAAAATGAATGGGATTTGCCTTCTGCAAGAATTCATCCAATAGCATTGAAATGGTTGTTTCAACAAGAGAAAATCAAGAGGCCATTGTCTTATCATGTGCAAAAATTTTGTGGAAGGAATATAGCAAATGGCTCTGACATCATCGTCCATGGAAAGAAGAGTGTCATATGGTAAATGTTAATTCAATTGCAGAGTTAATAGCAGGAGCAATACTTCTTTGTTCTTATTGATAGGAATTCTGGAGAAAAGAAGGCCAACAAGCATGACATAATTTCTGAAGTGAATCTCATGGGAACTATTGTTGACATATTTCCAACTGTTTCATACCAGTGATGCTTGCGTGGTACTGGGAATGCTTTCCACAATCTTTATTGTATATCAACATATACACAATCCCCACAGATATCACAGCCATCTTAGTTTTAATTTTTAAACTTTATGCTCAGTGCACCACGGAACTCTTTCTCATGATGACTCTTGGCTTGCAGCGACTATGACGGTGAGTGACTTAATTTTGCTGATTCCAGCTTTGCTTGCTGCCACAGGAATTTAATCGGAAGGGTTGTCTTCTTTTGTAGTTAATAATTTTCACTACGAGCTGCAGACGGGTGGTATCATGAATGTCTCTTAGTAATTGGCATTTTTTTTCCTTAATTTTTAACCATTCTGTGAATCAAGTGCTCATAGTAGCTTTAACACCATTATTTTCAGGTTTTATAAGGTGTGGAGAAGTCTTAATATTGGTGCCTCTTATAAATTACTGCTCGTTAAGAAGGTTAGTTCATCCTATTAAATTCAACCAACCATATACAATTGCATTTTTCTTCTGAATCTACTGCCACATAGGATGCAGCCAATTTCCTTTATTTGAATCTACTGCTCTGAGTCCATGACCTATGTAGACTAATGCATTTTGGATCTCCTTTGGTTGCTTCATCATACCTGTTGGAGTCGTTTACCAGAATATCTGATCATAGGAATTGATATGCACCGTGGAGTACCTAATGTCTGTAGTGGCTGTCCTAGAAGGCCTAATTCTCTACAGTGCCTCGTAGTGACTCTGAATTGTGGCCTCTGCCTATCAATGATCTTGGGATGGGAATTTCCAATGCAAGGGACAAATTTGAGTTCAAAGAATTATTGGAATTGGATGATTGTGGAAAACCTTGCAAGTGAAAACCTTGTAAGTGTCTCTAGCAGTCCTATGCTTAGCATCAAAATCTTTCAATAATCTTCACAAGCCTACAAATCATGTAACTGTCACATTGCTAAAATATTTGATGATTCTTGTACCAAATTATTTGAGCACACAAATTCTACTTTTATTTTGAGCTCTATTGAATTCTTAAAGACGGAACAAATTGCTAGAGTAAATCAGTTGCTCCATGTGACCATTTCTATGTCTTGCATTTCGTGTTCCCTTGGTTTTTGTTCTTGTCTAGTGGGCACGTTAAGGGATTAAATTGAAGCTTTCCTTGCTTTTCTTTTTTTGTTAAACTCCAAACGTAACAATGAGTCAGTGTACTTTTGACCCTTTGGTTTTAGAATGAAAACTGGCTGAAGGTTTCCTTAAATTTCCACCCTTTGTCATTCCAGTCATGCTTGAGGATTTAGAAGTCGAATAGCAAGGAAGTGCGATTAACAGAGAGATAATGCAGCTATTTTATACATTGCAGGTGTGCATAAAACAAAAGTACACTGCCAACAGTCAAGATGAAAGTGCAGAAGAGCATAAAAGGAGGTGGTGGTCACTATCTTGTACAATTCGGGAGAAGTTTGTGAGTATTTCATTCATGATGTCATCTGAGTCATCTCTATATAATAGACAGGGATTTTGGAGGATTAGATTTTCGGGATAAGAGATTGTTAGAAGAAATAGAGCTTTTCTTTAATACTTTTACAGTAACAGATGGCAGCTATGAAAATCATATTAGTGGTTCAAAGAGTGAAAGCACCTGCAAGCCTTTGTGATCATTGATTGCGTGAAAAGCTGAAAAAATGCATTGGAAGGGGCTGACTTTTTTTATAATCTTTGATTCTTGTCAAGAAAGTTTGCGACTTTAATGGTTATCGTGTTAGACATTGTAACCTTGGTTCCCATCTAACCTAGATTGTTAGAGCTTGGAAGTTAAGAGACAAAATCAGACAGACAGTTTATAATTTGAGCTTGGAAGTGTTTGTACCCAATTTTGGTCAATGGACCAAAAGTGGTTCCCTCCCTAAAAAGAGCGTGGCAAGGGCCCAAGCCCAATAGTTGTCTGTAAGTTGTATTTTTCAGGAGGACTTTCTTGTTTAAAATAAACACCAAGACAGGACCAAAACCGAAGCCCAAGAACAGAGGGCCCAGAAAGATTGGACTGTTGGAAGGTGAAAAATCGGAAACTGTTCCAAACCCACGCGAAGTTGGAGAAGGACCATCAACATTTAATGACGATTTGACTTTTCTCTCTTCCAATAAGAAAGCCAGCCGCCTAAGGAAGCCACCAAGCCAGGTGAGGAGCCAACTTGCATATCAAATCGTCAAGTACAAAACGCTTCAAACCAGGGAGCTGTTTCGAAGGATCGGCGGTTCTCGTCAGAAAGTCCAATCACCCCCACTATGGACTGGTTCAGGACGTCAAGTCAGCAAGCTGACTTTGGACAACAGCCAAACATCCTCGCTCAGTCATCATCACTTAAGACCTCCCCTGCTCCTATAAATAGAGAGCTTCTAGCACAAAAGAAGGCGACTCTCTCTCCAAAACCCAGACGCAACGTCTTGTAAAACACTAAGGGCCCGTCTGGTAATGTTTTCAGAGAGCATTTTCAGAGAATGTTTTCATAGAATGAAAACGAGAAAATGAAAACACATTTTCAGAGAACAAAAACGCGTCTGGTAGCTTAGTTGAAAACTGTTTTCAGAGAACAAAAACAGTGAAAACGCGTCTGGCAGTAATATGTGAAAATGACAAAAACAGTGAATATGCGTTCGGTAGGAGGATTTTATTTTATTTTTTAAACTAACATTTTCATACATTTATGTATGTAATTAGTCTAGCTCCTTTTTTATTATGCACACCAAACATGTTTTTCTCATTTAACCTATGTTACTAAAATCAAAGAGTTTGGATTAAATTAGATTTAAGAAAAAGTGATATATCTATGCATTTGGCTTAGTTTAAATTAGTGGATTGAAACATTCATTGGCTTCCATAACATCATTATCCAAGTTAATATCTTAAGTACCTATGACTAAATGCGTCTAGTCACACAAGTTTCTAGACCAAATGTTACAAAAACTTGTTCATTGCAACAACAAAAAAAACTACATAAAATTACAATAACATAATCAAGAGCCTTGGGTGAAATCACGCCACAAATCTTGCGCAATCTTATCTCTAATGTTGGTCATTTGTGCAATATTTCCCGGAGACATATCTAAATTTGGTGTAGCCATATCTTCACCCTCAACAATCATGTCTTCTACTTGAAACTCTTCGAACAACCTGTCACGACGTGCTTCTCTTCGGATAAAATTATGTAACACACAACATGCAATAGGGATACGTCGTTGCCTACGTGGAGGATAATTGGGCATCAATTTCAAAATTGGGAAACGAGCTTTCAACACACCAAAACACCGCTCAATTATATTACATAATGAAGAATGCCTATAATTGAATAATTCTATAGGACCTCTTGGTGCTCGGCGCGGTCCCCTATAATCACGCAAATGATATCTCTCACCTCGGTAAGGTGCCAAGAATCCAGGCATATTTGTATATCCAGCATCCACAACATAGTAATATCCTATTAATTAATTCGTTATTTGCATGTGATAATAATGTTAGTAATAATTTCAATTTAATTTTCTATATTTATTCATACCTTCCTCTGGAAAAGGAAATTCATTCTCTGGCCTCAACACTGCATCTGTGAACACTCTAGAATCATTTGCAGTCCCTTCCCATCCGGTGTAAACAAATGTGAACATCATATCGAAAGAGCATGCACACATAACATTTTGAGTAACAAGAACCTTTCTACCACGGTATGAGGTTTGTTTTTGTGCTGGTGCCCAAGCAGCAACATGTGTCCCGCCAATTGCACCAATACACTTCTACAATATAGTGAAAAGTAACTAAGCTAAATAATAAAAATAACATATAAAGGTATATATATAGTATCATGATCAATTGCAACATGTACAAAAAAAAAAAATTCCTCACCTCAAAATAAGGATAATACTTTGGGCTATTCAAGATTTCAGGCGGTGTTTCCCCTCTACTACTTGGGCGTATAATACGTGGTGATTATCCACATAAAGCTGTCAACACACGCTTAAATTGTCTGTGAATTGTGTCTTTAGATCGTTGAAAACGCTCAGCCGCAACTCGCATACGAATACTATGAGAAACTATAAATAAGAAAATACCAACTGCTTCTTGAATACCCACATGTCTATCATGGTGTAAAAGATCTAAAGTCTCAAGGGTTTGACATAACCTTAAAAATACATGTTTGTCCATGCGAAATGAGTCATAAATTCTATCCGGATTTCCATTCAATAGCTCTTGAACATATTCATGCCCCGATAAAACTGAATTATGGCAAGGAGTCCTATCAACATATGATTGCCAATATTCATAAATATTCATACATATTAGCATATGATGTGCCATTTCTTCAAGTTCTTCCATATCTGAATCACTATCTGAGTTATTGCCTCCATTACTAGTAGACATGTTTAATACCTTCAAATATTCAAATAAAGTAATTGTCACTAACATTGAAACAATAATAACATATCCACAACCATACTATTCAAATATAAAAGAACACCAAGACTATCCATTAATATAATAACATATCAAAGATATCCATAAACTTAAATAACACATAATCCATAACATATAAAAGAAATTCATAAACTAAAATAACATATAAAATAAATTCATAATCTCAACTAAAGAGAAACCACAATCATACTAGTATTCCTAAAGACTAGCTAACCAAGCTCTCCTCCTCGCATCCGACATTGTAATAAATATTTTTCTCCATTCAACAAGCACAATTTTTTCTAGCATCTTGTTGAATGTATCATTTTCAATGTCCCCCATTTCTTCAACAAGTCCGATGCATTCTTCAATAGAATACATCTCCTTGGAGGTGCTAGATGCCTCAACACTCTTTTCCTTTTGAAGTGATTGTAATCTTTGACTCATAACTTCACTGCAAACCTCCAAATAGGATTCCATTTTATCCCATTTCTTTGGACGACGCTCGGGTGGGGTAGCAGTTACACACTTTCTTTTTCCTTTACCATGATCAATTTCCAAGTTAACACCATCATCATCCAAGTCAACATCAATGTGAACACTAGTGTTAAGGAAATTGTTCTCTAACTCACGCTCCTCATCTGAGTTAGGAGGAAGTTGATTAGAGGCATAACGCAACTGACCGGTTGCAGTAGTGGTGTTGAATATCTCCCCTAAAAGTTGATAGTGCACTAAACCTTGAGTGCGATATTGCTTCGCTCTTGGTTTACTCTACAAACCATGACAAATATTATACTCAAACATCAGAAGCAATTCACTTAAGTATGTGAAGTGAAGTGAAAAAAAAAACTTGAACAAAGGCTTGGTATACCTTAATATAACTAGCCCAAACATCCTCTGAGGCAGTGACTGTGTTAGCAATAGGATCCCACCCAAATCCAGTATGCTCAATTAGATCCGAGAACTCACGATGTGCAATTCGCAACCTATTAAACTTAGACTTAAGTTGCTTAACAGTGCATTTTTTTCCACATTTTGCTAACAACTCCTCGCTTATTTCAGACCAAACTTTCGTTTTAAAGGTTGATGCTTGCAAGTCACCCTTCTTCACATGATCATGCAATATATGTATAAAAAACTCCTCATGTTTGGAAGGCCATTGTACTTTTTCCTCACCATCAACATTCTTAGGGGCCATATCCTTGTAAAGAAAAAACAATTAAGACAATCCAATAATTATTGCATTTCAGAACATTGCACGTATCATCACCACATATATGAATCACATATTTACAAATAAGAAAACATATCCTTTAAATAAATAAAAAAAGACAAACTCAATATGAATACATATCTTTCCCTTGTTCTAGTGGTACATTTTTCGCATTAAAAAATATGTGGACATATTTGCTTCAATTATGCTCTGTTTCTCTCTCACATACACAGACACAAAACACAAAAGTGCACACAAAGGTTCCTTTTTTATCACTGTTCTGATTTCAATTATAAGTATGGGCAAGCTGAGTTTATAAACAGAGAACTGGAGCAGGTGACAACAGATCAAATCAATTATTCAGACCCTAAATGCCAACCAGCTACAAGTTTTTAGTGGTGTTTCTACTTATTAAAAAGCTTTTCCAACATATATAGATGAGTATAACGATGCTTTCATTTTTTTTAGGGAGGAGAACTTGATACAAATGATGGGTTGGCTTCATTAGATGTGGTTGTACAAATCTTAAACAATCTACAGCAGACAATGACAAACTACCAAGATTCATGCATTCTAGTCCACGCCAAACAACATGACAAGTTTATAACTATAAATGAGCAATCTTCCAAAAGTAAACTGAATAACAGACCACCATTTACAAAACTCAACTCGAAATTATGAAAACCATTATCAAAGATCCCAAAATTAAGCACAAAAAAGAACCCATTTGAGAAAATTACAAAGCTGAATTGCCCAAATGAATAATAAAGCACCAAAGAGAAGAAAACAGAGGAATTACCTCAGTCAATGTGAGTTCTGTGTCGTTGTTCTTCTGCTTCTGCTATTGCTTCAGCTTCTTCCAAAAGCAAACTGAATAACAGACCACCATATACAAAACCCAACTCAAAACTATGAAAATCATTATCAAAGATCCCAAAATTAAGCACACTAAATAACAGAACACCATATAAAAATATGAAAATTATTATCAAAGATCCCAAAACTAAACCCTAAACTATGAAATTTATTATCAAAGACCAGAAAATTAAGCACAACAAAGAACCCAATTCAGAAAATTTAGCACAACAAAAAACCCTAGATCTAAAGGCACAAAATACCCACAGCTAGAGAAAGAGGAAAAAGTGAGAAAATTACCAAGATCTTCCAAGAGCAGCAATCTTCCTGTGGTCTGTGTCGATGGAGTAATTGGAGAGAACAAAAAGCCTTAGTGGTGAAGAGAGGAAGAGAGACAGTCGCCAAAGAGAGGAGTGAGCCAAGCCAAAGAGGAGTGGTCAAGAAAGGGGGAGAGAAGAGAAGGGTGAGCAAGGAGGAGAGAAGAATTTTGGTTTTTGGTCTGATAGGGAGAGAAGATCGAGCGAGAGATTGAGCAGAAGCTGTGTGTTTTGAGCGTTGTTTTCTGGGAGAACAAAAACAACTTTTTTTTGTTTTGTAGAAGTAAACGTGAAGATGGTTGAAAACATTTTCAATGTTTTCTGTTTTTGCCTACCGAACATGTTTTTGCTTTGTTTTTATTCTTTGAAAATGAAAATGGGCTTCTAAAACATAAACGAACGGGCCCTAAAGCACTCAAAGATATTTCTAGTCAAACTCGCCCGGATCTTAGATAGCCAGACGACTTCTGTGTCCATCTTTTTATTTCTCTGCCATCTTCATGATATGACTAACTTCTGAAAATGTTCAATTTGAATTTGTATAATCAAGCCGGCTATAACCTTAGATCGCCGTGATAATGTATTTCATAGTTCGGAACCAATAAATATGGATCTTTATTGTTTCTGCCGTTGATTTAAGAGCTGAATAAACAAGAAGGATGGAATCCGTTCCTATAACACTCTGTTATGCTTATGTCTGCATTTCTCTTCATACCTGCGATAGTTAAGCATTTTCCCGCTTCTGTTTTATTTGAGCTATAGTATCATAAAAGGTTTTTAGCTTGAATCAGGCCATATAGGCCTAAGGGATATAAGCCAGTTGGGCCCGAAAGTCATAGTGCTGGGCCCGATATTGTGGTCAGTTTACATAAATATATATATATATATATATTTAAATTCAGATTTAGGTTTATAAACCCGCGCGAGGTGTTTATTAACCAAGAACTCTGTCTTTTTCCCTTGCTTGGATAGGTGTTGCTCGCACCAACCAGGACTGATATATACACGAAAGAAAGAATGACAAAATCCTCTTAACTGAGGCATAGAAAAGAACCAATCCAGGCCAGTACCCCACTTGGAGCACAATGGTTTGAACAGGGGTCCAGAGAGAAGGCGCAAACTTCACAAAATACACATCACACTTTCTCACACCAAGTCTATTGGACTGGTCTCATATCCAACAGTGGCATGCCTATAAAGCAGAACTCATGAATCGGGGGGATTCCGGAAGTTAAGCCCATGGCAGGGCTAGATTGGATTTTGTCAACCTGATTCAACTTTCAATTTTGTTGAAAACTGAAGTAACATCTGCGTGAGCCAAAAAGATACAATCGGGGCATTGGTGTCGGTCCTGCAGCTCCTGTATTCTTCCGAGCACGCCTATCACGACATTCGGCGAAAAGAATACCTGAGAAGAAAAAGGAACCAACATATTTTTGGCACGCCCAGTGGGACTTTCATTCATGTATGGTGAGGAAGACCAGAAGGAAAGTCTCGGACTCCACACAAGCCACTGAGGAGAGAAACAAAGGGATTGTGGAGTCAGAGTCAATGGAATCTTCTACGGAATACCCCTTCGAACGGTTGGAGAAAGCTATGAGATAAGGTTTTCAGGTGATGACCAACTCTATGAATCACATGTCCCAGAGCATCGTCCAGACCGTTGAGAAGGGACATGTGAACACGACTCTACAAGGAAATGAAACTAGAGCTCACCTGAGTCAAATCTTCGAGCGGATCGTACGATTGGCACAGGAAGAGGACGCGTCCCGAAAAGAAAAAGGTCTCCTCGAAGACGAGAAAACATCTTCAGGGGTTCCAAAGTATTCCCCGGGCCAGACAAGTGGCCATGCTAACTCAACGTCTCCCAAGATGGTGGTGGGAAGCTCCTACGGAACACCTTTCCAGGCTGCTCACACAGGCACGACAGACAAGACACTCGCTGGTCCAGTCATTGCGCAAGTAAGCAGCTCATATAAGGAACCAGGAGGCCAGCGGTTCACACCTTCAGGAACACCTTCCAAATATCAAGCTCCAAGAACCAGCGAAGCCGCTTTACCATCGGAACCTGTCCGAAAGAATATGTACGCCGAAAGATGGAGAGAACCTACGGGATTTAACGTCCACATCGCCCACAATAACGGTAATACCGGGGGTAATGGATGGGGCAGGCGAGATAATACAAGAACGACCGAGCAACCTCAGGATTCTGACGATGAAGACGAGGTGGTTCAGAACCCATAGGCCGCTATCGAGCCTCCCCCGGCATTCCATCCAGACGAAGCCATACGAAATGAAATGGAGGGATTGAGGCAGCTTTTTTACAACGGTCAGGCTGGAATCAGGAGGGCGGCTCGGCCCACTTACCAAAAACCCTACCCCGCATATATCGATGATTTACCATTCCCAAGGGGATTCAAAGTACCAAATTTCAGTCTATTCAACGGAGAAGATTTGTACGCATCAGCATTGGAACACATCGGGCGCTTTTCGGCCCAATGCGTAGCCATCGAAACCCAACCTCTTTTGAAACTGAGGTTGTTCGGAAGCTCCCTCTCGGGCCAAGCCTTCACCTGGTATTCAAATTTAAGCCCGAATTCTATCCCAGGACGGGCGGAGATGGAAGGGGCCTTTATGGAGCAATATTATAGGCCCAAACCTGAGGTCACTATCAATGACTTGACTGATATGAAGTAGGGAGAGCATGAGACGGTACATGATTTCATCGCATGTTTTAAGAAACTCAAGATGAAATGTAAAATCCCCATGGATGAGAAACATTTCATCAAAATGGCCCAGAATGCTCTCAGGCTACCCCTTCAGAAGAAATTCGATGATCAGGAGTTTATGGATTTGCAAGACGTGGCTCAACGAGCCTGGAAGTACGAATTATTGCTCCAAGAAGAAGCACAGAGAAGGAACAGTTCCAAACCTGTCTACTTCAAGAACCCGGTCCATCATCTGGAAGTCATCAATGAATTTGCTGAAGCCAGTGAGGAGAGCGTCGGTCCAGAAGTATCACTTGCAGAGATCATTCAGATAAAGAATCCGATCACTTGCAAAGCAGTGATGAGACCAGGAAAGGAACAACGGAGTAACCCTCCCCCGACCGGAGGATTCATACCCTATAAGCAAAAACACAAATCATATTCCTTCGATCTCTCTAAGGTGGAAAACATCTTTGATGAGCTGCTCAAAGGAAAGGTGATCAGACTCGACGAGAAACACGTATTCCCAAAACAAGAAGAAGTGAAAGGCAAATTATTTTGTAAGTGGCATAATTCCTTCTCTCATGCTATCAACAATTGTGTTCAGTTTAGGGATGCTATCCAAGATCTCATCAACGAAGGCAAGATCCTCCTAGATAAACTGACCACTATGAGAGTTGATAACGAGCCGTTTCCTACTCACATGATCGGAGTCAACTGGCCCGAAAGGCACAATAAGAGGAGGATCGTAGTACATGTTGAGAAAGCAGGGAAGGCTACCTCATCATTGATAAAAAGACCAAAAGCGACCATTATGGCCGGAATTGTAATGTGCAGCCGGTGCAAATGCGAGTGCGAACTCGAGATACCTGCCGCAATAGGAAACATAGACGAGCGACTAATTCAAAATATAGTCGTGGCTGACCAGAATTTCCACAAGTCCGAAGCCCGAAACTATGGCCCTTTTAGCCCACATAGGGGCCCGAAAGGTAATTATGAAAAGTTTCGGTCGAAGATGAAGCCGTTTCATGCGACCAGAATTATGGAAAGATGATGGCAGGGAAGCCCAAGAGCGGACCATCGAGGTCCGGTTTAAAGGTTATAATGCCACAAAAGGTGATTCAGGCCAGATTATCCATGGATGAAGAAGAAGATGACAACATGTCCGAAGGAGAAGACGACGATTGGCTGAACTACGAACTCAACCATGAAGAATTTAAAGCCGCTTTGGGATTGAAGATTGGAGGCAAGGAAGAAGAGGAACATCCCGATCACATCCCAGCTTTGACATTCTGAACTTTGGAAGAAGTCCCCAAGAACACTGTCACGACAGAAAGGGCTGCAAAGCCAATGGCTTCAAAAACTGTCCCAGAGAAAGAATGTCAAGGAAGTCAACTTATGGAAGTTGAGTCAACACCTACCACTCATAAAGCTATGCCTATAAATATGGTGTACATCCTCCTAACTCTTTATAGGTCGAAAGAGGATCAGCCAGGGTACATGGAGGGCGATAGTCTGATCGGGGATCACCCGACCGCGTTGATCCACATAATTGACGATCATGACGAAAGGCCCGACATTCTGAAGTTAAACGAGTCAAGCACGGCTGGAGAGATAGAGAACTCGAAAAGGGGGATTCCTCAGGTATTCTTCACTAGACCAACCCGAGCAATGACCAAGCATTTGAGACCCCTATTCATTTTCGCTAAAATCAACGGCGTACCTTTTAAGAAGGTGATGATTGATGGAGGAGCTGCTGTCAATATCCTACCATTAAAGAGGTTAGAAAAGCTGGGGAAGAACAAGGCGGATCTCATTCCCACAGATTTAACTGTCTCTAATTTTGCAAGAACCATTACCGCCACTCATGGCATTCTGGTAGTCGAGTTTGAAGTCGGATCCAAGAACTTGATGGTATCTTACTTAGTAGTGGATAGCACGTCATCTTACCATGCATTGATGGGAAGGGACTGGATACATCAGAGCATGTCTATACCTTCTTCCCTTCAGCAAGAATTACTGATGTGGGATGAAGAGTTGGAAGACTACGAGATGATAAAAGCAGACCCAAAGCCATTCTTGCCATCTGCCAACAGCGTCGACGCACGGTTTTACAACGAAGACATAGCTCCTCTTACCATTCCAGAACTAGTCAAGAACGGCCACTCTCTAGTAGTGATGGCCCAGAAGTTCATCCAGCAGGGCCTCGTTTTCTCAGCAGAAGAATGGGAGAGGCCCCAAATATCCTTCGCCAATTTCCATGAATAAACAAGACCTACAGGAACAAGAGCTGTCTCTGGCAAAGGAATCTCTAGCGTAGCGGCTACAAATGGAAGTAGTACAAGAAGAGTTAGAAGCGAGTCCAGCCAACTATATGGTTGAATTTGTTTCTGAAGACGCCTGGACCGACTTGGTCGAACTAAGTGAAGAAATTCAATTGGGGCC